CTCACACACACACTCGGGCTCCTGCATGCCGACTGACAAGCACGCAGACAGAGCCTTGTGCTCAACCCTGTCTCTTTCCTTTTTCCTCTGAGCCCAGAGATCGATCACTGACCCCACCATTGGGCCAACGCTTTATTTATCTGGCCGCGCAATGATATTATCAGCCTTAAACGTTATATACAGCAAATGTCTTCGTAAATCAACACAATAGGATAGCCTGCAGAGACCAGCCTGGACTGCCTTAAAGAAATCTCTCTCTCTCTCTCTCTCTCTCTCTCTCTCTCTCTCCCCCCCCTCCCTCCCTCCCTCTCCCCTCCCTTACAAACACCCCTTCTCCTTTCCATCTTTATAACTGGGCATGTTTTAGAGGGATGTTTTAGATGCTGGGCTTGGGGATTTGATCCCTTGTTTTCAGCTTCGTTGGAGGAGGCCTCATCCAACTAGGAGATGGATAGACACCATTATCCACCCATCACTGTGATCTCCATCAGAGGTTCCCTTATCAGCCAGATTCAACTGCCTACACTATTCACATGATCCGGATTTCTCAAAATTGGGGTAGAAGAGAAGGCGAGGGGTGGAGAATCGAGTGTGCAACCTTGCACCGTGTTAATTGTTTTCTTTCCTCTCAATTACATTCATAAACCTCTTTTTTTCCACTGCATGTTATTTCTTTGTGCTTTAAAATTGAAACCACGTGCAGCCTTCTCCCCTCAGCACACACAATAAACGCTCTACCCCCTCCCCCAACCCATCACAAAACTATTTACATCTTGGTTACTCACTCGCGCTCTGGACCCGGAGAGAAGAAATTGGCCCCATGGGACTAGGTGAGGCTTTGTGAAAGCATCTCTCAAATCCATATCTCAGGCCCTCATCTCAGAGAGAGGCTCCTGGGCCCCCCTCCAGGCCTCCATCCCATCCCCTCCTCGCACAGGTGGTTGAGGCTTACTCTGGGAGAGCTAGCAGAGAGGACATCCAGAGAGAAAGGCAGCTGTGTCCGGCCAGGCCCGCAGGCTGCCCGGCCCCCCACACCGCCCTGCCGGCTGGCAGGGGTCAATGGTGGAGGCTGCAGCGAGTGAGTCTCTGCTACACCCTGGCCCATGCACTCTGGGCGCAGCAGAAACCGCGCTGGGAGTGGTCGCTCCCCAGGGAGCGGTCCAGACCTAGGTCCTCCCAGGCAAACAGTCCCACCAAAAACAAACAAACAAACAAACAAACAAACAAACAAACTCCAAAGGGGGAAGGGGGAGATGGAAAATGGATTCGCTGACAGGGAGAGATAATAAATGAGAGGCGCTTTCAGATAGATATCTCAGACGTGAAATTGCGCCCAGCTGGTTGTGTAAGCAAACAAATAGTTTCATGTTAGGAACTCTCAACTTGTGGCTTGATGAATAGAACACGACAGAGGTAAATGGGTCTTTAACTCATTTAGGAATACAACTCTTTGGCCTTCCAAGTTAAAGGCCCACTGACGCCACGGATCCTGAGCAGGCCCTCTAACAAGAGTTTTATTAGTTGCCACTTGCGTTTCCCTGTGTACCCACCCCACGCTCCTTCATGGTTTCTCATTTGCAGAGACATTCAGGCGATTCGTTCTGAGGGATTCGTAAGCTCACGGAAGGTGATGCTGCCACTGTAAGAGATACAAGGACTGTCTTGTATCTCCTGTCTGAGAGGAGGAGAGAAAGGAAAACGAATTTTTTAAAAGATAAACTTTTTGCCTGCTCCAAGCAGAAAAGCTCAGGTGGATCCCCAGTGTTCCTGAGCGCAAAGATGGGCAGTGGGGCCTCGAGGAGCCGACCGACCGACACCCTTTACGGCTGCTGGAGACAGGTTGCCAGAACCGATGCGAGGGGCCGAGTCCGGGACGCCCAAGGCTGTCCTCGTTGCCCAGCCCACCCCCGGCCCCCCTCCCCGGGACCCGTCCCGCCGCTTGGCTTCTCCCAGGCATGGTTGCGGGGCGGGGTGTGCATCCCGGGCAAAGGCCGTGTTTGAACTTCCTTGCGCCAGTTCTTGTCGGGGGGCAGTGGATGAGGCGCAAGCTCGCTCCCTTGAGATTCTCGGAAGAGAGCACGTCCTGAGATAGCCTTTATGATGTTTTAAGTAAAGCTGTGGCCAACGTAGTTTAAACCGACTTCACAGTTCTGGTGGCCCAGCAAGAGTTTGGGTTGGAAAAGGGGACGTTTGACTTTCCCATGTGGTGGGTAGTTTTGACAGGGAAGTCACCTTGTGTGGGCCGCTCTCCGACTGTTTGGAGGCGTTTCCACGGAGCCTGGAGACCCGCTGGTTCTCTTCTCGCTCCGGTAACCCAGCCCTCCTGCCCCGACGCCCCGGGATTGAGAGGACCCTGCATGCAGCGGGCTGCGCACCTCGGGGGCACTTTCTGGCCGCCTGCCTCCGGCCTCACGGCCTCACACCCGGGTCCCACGGCTCCCCCTGGCGCTTGGCTCCGAGACTGGTTCACTGCTCAGGGCCACCCCCACCCCCACCCCCGGGGCTGCCACCCAGGCAGAGATGTGTCACCTTCTGCCCAGGGGCTGCAGGGTCTGAGGAGTCCCCGAGCCCTGAGCCCGCCAGCCGGGCGCTGCTGTAGGAGCTGCCCCTCCGCACTGCGAGGAGGAGCCGGGCCGCGGCCCATTCGCGAGACCTCCAGACAGCCTGTAGGTCACAGGAAGCCAAAAGGACTATTCCTGGTTGTCCAAAGGCCCATTCCGTGCCCGAGGTGCCGTGATCTCAGCTTCTAAACCTTCCCTTACTGTGGGCATATTCATGGGGCCCGACTGTGCGCTCCGGGAGAAAGCCTCCGTGCCGGCAGCCTGTACTGCCGGGCAGGGACGCCCACACGGCTTCTGAGTCCCTGAGAGGCTCTGTCTTTCTGATTGAGACACACAGAGACCTCCGGAGAGGATTGTGTCTCTGGGCACAATGCAGGTGAGGACCACACCCAGCCAGCATGGAGACAGCAGAGGAGAAACCCAATGCCAGCGGTCCGCAGGAGCAGAGCACCTCTGTCTCCTCCAGTTCCTCAGCCCCAGGGCCTCCCGTTCCGGTTCCCAGACTGAGCCTGTGGGGGACTCTGTGAGATCACAAGCCCGGCTGCTCCTCTTCCTACACTGGTCCGCCCTGGGCTTGGACCCAGGTTTAGGAAGGTGGAGGGAATTCCCTAGGCAGTGGGCAACGGGCAACGCTCTGTCCTGTCTGGCAGAGCCAAGTTGGTACTGTCACCTCTGGACCCTGGAGCAAGTGCCTTGTCCATTCCAGGCCTTGGTTTCAGGGCCGGTCCCCACACTGGGCTCCTGTGCTTGGGTCTCCACATTGAAATTAATTGAAAAATACGTTTCAGACCTACAAAAATGTTTATCTATTTTCATCAGAGGGATCACACTGTAATGAATATATTTACATCTCATTTTGAGAAATGTAGGAAAGATCCTGAGAGTTTGGTGGCAGCTCCCCTCCCCCTCTGTGCCCTGGCCGCAGCCACTCCACTCCTATGCTCATGCTCTGCCAGCCACTGGACAGCACAGGAGGACTTTGTGGGAGGCAGTCTCTGGTTAAATATGAGTTCTCCCCAAGACCCAACTGCCTTGGGTGTCCATCCTGCAGGGCAGTCAACTGTAGGCGCAAAGACATTGCTCCTGGGTGTGGTGCAAAGGGTGAGGAACATTTCAGAATGTGACCCATCAGAGACAGGAGGCCCTGGAGACCGAGGCGCTCCACACTCCACATACCCTACCAGTCCAGCCACTCTCAGGATCAGGCCAGTTTCCAGACAGCCTGGTTAGGGATCATGGACCTGCAGGGGTTTCTCCACAGCATGGTATTGCTTGAACTGTGCTGCACTCAAAATATCAAAACTTCAGGCTGGTTGGAGTGGAGTAGCTTGTTAATGCGTTTTTAAAGGAGTGGGGTGGGGACCTGGAAACTTCTAGATAGCAAATTGGAAGCAAAACTTTGCCAATGACTTCTGAAAGTGAAGCTTTTGCCTCAGACGGGTTTGTTTGGGGCTAGGGGAGGGGCTGAAGGTGAGAGGTGTTATTTTAAAAGATCTGGCTTTATTAATATGGTAAGAAAAAGCTCCCTTGGCAGTATGTATTCTCACAGTGCTGACTGTGATCCCATAAAACATTCATGCTCTGAAAGCTGTTACAGAGAGCAGCACACCGCCCCCCCCCCCCCCATCCAGCCAGCATACCCAAGGAGAGGCCTGGTGGGCGGTTTCTACTCTCAAGGGGCCACTAGGGCCCAAACAACCCTTCTGAAAAGAGCCTGCTCCAGCCTAGCTCTCCCACTCCCAGATCTTAGGTCCATATCCCTAAGGGCCACAGTGGAGTGGGGAGAGCCCTATCATCAACCCAACAGACCTGGAGGATCCCCAACCTCCCAAAGAAACCCTCTCATAGGGTATGGAGAAAAGGGCAAACCATAGTGGTCTCTTCAGCAGACCATAGAGGGAGCAAAGCCAGAGCTCCCAGCATGGCCCTAACTCTCTCCCAGAGCTGGGGAAGCAGGCAGACCCTCCAGTCATGACATGAAGTACAGAAGTGTCTGAGTGGCCCTCTCCCTCCCTTGCCCCCTACTTCTAGTGCTTCGCACCTCTACAGCCAGGCAAGTTCCCATCTGCAGTCACCAAAGCAAGCTGTTTCCTGAGACTGGCTGCGCCTGCCCCTATGACCAGGCCTGCCAGAGTCGGATGCCCAGCCTGAGGCCCACCTGCTTGCAGGGCCTCTAGCTTCCCACTACCCACAAGGTCCCATCGGATGCTTCTTAACCCAAGGTCCTCCTTAACCATTGTGGCCCACGCAGAGCCTGACCCTCCAAATTTACAAAACCAAGCAGCGGCTTGGTTTAGGGAATAAATCTAGCCAACTTTGTAATGAACCTTAGAAGTTCTCTACTCTTACCCCCTCCCCATTCTAATAATAATTGGAGTAGAGTTTAATTGGAGGGTTCTTTTGCACTGATGACATCTGTCAAGCAACCAGACACGTAGGTTTTGCTAAATTCTTTTATTTTGTTTAAATTTTCACTTCAATTTTAATTCTTGAAGAACAGCCTCGACAACATATATCGCACTCATTATAAGAAGCAAAGGGTTATATCAAAAATTATTAGTATAGAATCACAGGAAATCTGGTTTGGAACCAGAAAAAAATACAAAACAGATATAGATACATAGACACAGGACAATTTTTATAATTATTTGGAAAATGTTATTTTCCCCTAATTCTTGTTTCCTTTTTTTATGTGCATACGATGTTTAAATTTTACAAAAAAATGAAAATAAAGACTAGTATCTTACAAAATGAATAACAATGTTTGGGGGTGCATGTGTTTCTACATAGGATTCAGTCCACTTCCATGTGTGTTGTTTTCTGTACAGAATATATCCACATCCGTCCACAATAAATCCTGGAAGATCCATTAGTTTCCTCTTGTTTCATTAAAATTCTCATGGTCCTCTCTTCCAAAGATTGTTTTCTTTTTCTCACCAGACACAAGGTCCTTTTTCTTTCCTTTCCAATGTGTTCACAGATCTGATCCTAAAAGAGTCTCTTTTTCTCTTGGATTGCAGCTCAGGTTGCATTTCTGCAGGGTGGGCTGCTCTTGCCTTCCCGGCCCTCCTCCCCCCTGCCCAGCCTGCCCAGTACACTGCACCCTGCATCAGCCGCCCCGTGTCCCCCAGGCTTTGGAGTCCATGGCCCCTGCTGGTCCTCTGAGTCTCTAGGGAGGTGGGGGCAGGTGGGAAGTGCCCAAGGTCTAGGAACACTGGATGGACATGTAAGGCCAGTTGAAGCTGCTCCCAGACAGTAACATATCACGGATGAGAGTTTCGATGGGGGTTTTACCTACCAAACGAACGAAGAACAGCTGCTCAATGACTGAGGAGGACACGGTGCGCAGCGAGGGCAGCCTCAGTAGCAGTTTGCCGAAGCGGCTGGGCTGATTAGGGTACTGGCTCCTCACGTACTCTTCCAGCGCACACTGCGACTTCTCCTGCAGGCTCTCGATGTGGGCAGCATCTGACAGGCCACAGGCATCTGCCCGAGCAGCCACAGGAAGGGCAGATAAGGGAAGGGGGCACAATGGTTAGGTCAGCAAACAGCAACAGCATAAGCCATTAAAAAAATTTTTTTTGAGGAGAAAAGGAGAAAAAAAGAAATAGAAAAAAAGAAAAGAAATCCACCCCTCCATGCATCCTATTCCTCTACCAGTCCCCAATACAAATAAAATAAATCAAGCCCCCATCAATACAAATAAAATAAATCAAACCCCCACCAAGCCTAAGGGAGCTGGAGAGAGAAGCACACACATGCAGAAGCAGCAACCTCTCTCATCCTTTTGTTTTTTCTTTCACCTTTGCATTAAATAATGTACGATGCTGAAGCCATGTTTGCTGTACCCAGCAACCTGTCCACTGCCTGCAGGGGAGCATCCTTCCACTGTGCTCATTAAAGGGAGGACTTTTACCCCCTTCCCCCCTGATTTCAAGGTGTTCAGGAGACCTGAAGAAATATGCAGCCTGAAGGCAGTTCTTAAAGGCTTCCTGGAATCCCCCTTGCAAACCCAAATGACCCCAACCAGAAACCTCAAGGAGAACCTAGATTGTGTAGTGAACAAACACATAAGAGTGGGTAAGGAATCATGGGCTGGCAGTGCCTGGAATCAGATCAAGCCCATGCTTTAGCAATATAGGATTTGAGATCCACTATCCATGCAAGCAAGAATTCTGCAGCAAATCCTTGGTGAGGGTGTACACTTCTATCTCTGCCTTAGATCAAGTAATTGAAAATTGGTCACATCTCTGTAAGCTGTATAATAATCAGGAAGAATATGGCTCAGTTACTCCAGGCTGCAGAAAGGAGACATCTTCAGTGATCAGACACAAAGCTGGGCTAGAGGCAGCTGCTGCTGCTGCTGCTGCTGCTTCAAAATTGGGAGGTTGGGAACTAAGGGGGGATTTGGGGAAATAAGCTTCCTTTAGAGGACCAAAGGGGAAAAAAGGCACTGACACACAGTGACAGCATCTCAAAACCTGTGTGTTTATCTCATATCAACCAAGTCTCCTCTTGGTCTCCTAAAAATATTCAAGACAGCAGTTTATACTATATCAACTAACTAGAGGCAAGCAAATGGAGGGAACCATAGAATCAGATGAATGAAGTGAAGGCTCCCTCTCTTAGTTTAAACATCTGCGTTGTTTCTTATATTAATAATAAACATTTAAAAATGAGGAAGATCACAGAGGAGCCCTTAGCCAGTCAGGAGATTGACTGGAGATCAAAGGCAGAGCTTGCTAATATATAAATCTTGGAAGAAATTCATGCACAGCAATGCCCGCAAAAGGATATTATATAATTGTGAATGGACAAGTGTGACCCTAAGAAGATGTAGCAAATGATTCAAAGTGAAACCTTCGTCTGCTGAGTTTCTGAGCTTTACGTCTTTGTATTTCAAGAACTGGGATTTACAAAGCATTCTAACACCTTCATCTACAAGATTATGGCCTTGAGCAAACACACAAATAAAACTAGTGATAATTCAAGAACTTCTGAGGCAAGTCCCCTTTGACCCCAGATCCAAACTGGGTTCCTTTCAGATGTCTAATTACTCTAACCAGCTGCTTGGGTGCATCCACACTGGCCTGAAGTGGGAAGTCAGTGAGGTTTTATGGCTAGCAGGGTGAGGGCAGGAGCACTTTCAGGCTTTGCTCCTTAGAGACAGGGGACCCTGAGGTCTGCCCTTGGCCCTGCTTGCTAACCTGGTTCTGCTGAATGGCCACCATGCAGACTCATATTTACATATATCTTGCTTTACATGCATTATCTGCCTATTATGCAACGGGATCTCTTTCAGCCTTAAACAATGCAAAATAAAAAAGTAACCACTGATACCCCAGCAGAATTTTTGAGGACCCATTCCCTCAGGTCTGTAAAATATTTATCTGATATTTACAATTAGGGCCCCCAGAGAGCAAGGTCACTACTCTTCTCCCAGCTAGGCCACTCCAAGGGAGAGAAGCCCAGTAAAGGTGTGCTTGGGACCTGTGCTGGCTGATTTGACGCCTTTCCTCCTTTAAAGGCAGAATGCCTGTAACTGGGTCTGACTGCCAGGTGCTCGCCGGCAAGCCCTATGGCCTTCCAGCAGGACCCCTGGTTTGGTCCTGGCTTCCCAGTTAGATAGTTATTCCCACACCAGACATTCCTGCAACAGGGTTCCCTCAACTGCGGACAGACAGCATGAGCTCTTCAATGGATTGAGTGGTTGTGGTAGCAAAGCTAGGTGAGCAGGGGGTGTAATGTAGTCCATATTTATATGCCATGAGTTATATACACTCCAGATAAGCAAAGGAGGCAGAATGTGCAAAATCTATGTCTCACTTTTTATATGGTAGTGTCAATGTGGGAAACTTCAATATTTCTTCTACAGTATATGGAAAAGAAATTATGTAAATAAATAACCATTACTGTTCAGGCCCTCCCGGCTTAGCCTTTGTAGTGTGGAGAATGTATTTCATGTTGTGCATTCAGAAGAGTTTAGTGTTCAGGAAATATAGATGTAATCAGCTGCCATAACTAGAAATCAAAGTTATTATTGTACTGAAAATGGATTTATTGTATTTATGTTAACTAGATGGCTCCTTTCAGGGAAGGTCTTTTTTATTTGAAGGAATATTTGAGTATATGAATTAATACAGTTTTTCTTAAAAGTAAGTTCAGGTCATGACCTAGTCCTTGGATGCTGTCCAGAATATTAAGGATTAAGCATACCATCCGGAGGCCAAATGTGAAAACCACCACAGGGAACCCCCGTGCCAGCTTCAAATACTTAACTGGAGCAAACCTCATTGGACAATATGTCTAAAACTGTCTTTTCCATCATTCAAAGTTTTCTCAAAAGTTGGATGACTTTGAGAAGGCTTCCCATGAATTCCCTTCTGGTTAGCAATCAAAACAAGTTTAGTCAAAAGTGGCAATGTGTTGTATGAAAGAGGGGGGTGAATTACTACTGACAGCTCTATTTCCATTTTCAGATATTCTGCTTGCAATTTTCCAACAAAATAATGTTATTGTTCACTTCTCGGCCTCCCTTGCACCTTGAAGACTTGGTTTAAGAAACTTCTTTGAGGGAACTTTTTAAAAAGAAACACTTTTCACAGGGATGTTTTAGGATGAAAAGTTGAAAGAAAAGCTAAATAATTCCACAGTCTTCTCTGCAGCCTGCAAAGCCCTTGCCTCTCTCTGGGAAAGGGCAGGAGATCAAAAAAGTCAAGGGGGTTCAAAGAACCTTAGGAGGACAAGGAAAAGGGAGGGAGACCTTTCTTGAGAAGACCTCTGTGCAGCTCCAAGTCACATTTCTGCTTCAAGACACCTCACTGGAGGAGATTTTAAAACCCCAGCTTCCCTGACACTGGCTTGCTTCCTGATTAATTTGGCTAAAGAGCTGGGTAGTGGAGAGCCAGCCAGGCCCCAGGCCTGCCAGAGCTAAAGCAGCCCGGTCATTGCTTCCCAGGCTCTTTGTCACTTTTGAAAAACACGTTTCTATCAAGAAGACTTATTAAGATAAAATGCATTCAAACACCGAGGAGGCTATTCAATAAATCTTCCATTTGTTTTAAGGTTCTCACTTTATCCTCTTGCAAAGAATAACTCCCTCTCCCACTAGCAGACCTGCATTTGCACTGAAAGTAAAAGGGGGGCAGTCCAAGTCCACGGCTCTGGCCACCCTGCATACAAATGAGATGCTCTTGTCTAAATAAATTATCTGCTGTTCAGATCGATATTAATACTACATTTGCTACATTACAATATTGTGCAAATTTAAGAGTCATTTTAATACAATGTAAATACGATTCTTCACGCATGAAAGCCAAGAAATATTGATAGATTATACCAAGGCCTTGGGAAAAGGAGTTTGCCATCTCTGCTCCAGAATGGTTTTAATTTGGCCTTTGGGTGTCTTGACTCTAGGATAGATTTATTAGGGTAGTTTATTTCTTCTCTGAATGGAGGAATTAAAAACAATAGTGCCAATAATAGAGGCAAAACTGCAGCTATCCTTAATCACAGTGGGCAAGGCCGAGACCCAGTCTGAGCAGCTCTGTTCCCCACCAGCGTCCCTTCTGGCTTTGTTTATATTTCTCCCCATTACCTGCTGTCCGGGGTGTTTATATGTTTCCCTCTTGTAGGTTACAATAATAAAAAAGGCGGGCAGTGTTTTCAGAGGCTCAGACCAGAGCCTTCAAAGGCTACGTTAATGCACTTTCCTGGGAGTTAATTTGAACCATCTATCATAAGAGAAATTGTTAACATGCATGTTACCACAGCCTACATTTAATTTGATATTTCTGAGGCACTCTGTTAAATTTTCGATGTTGGAGTGTTTTGCATGGCGATGAGATTTATCTCCGGGGCTGGAATCCTCCCATACTTTCGAGTTCTACAGTATTGCTTTTGTTTTTATCTTTCTTGTTTAGATCGAATCCGTTTTTTACGACCCTCAATAACCTCAGCAACTGCAAACATGAATGGTTTCCGATAAGGGAAAATCAGGGGCAGCAATAAAGCAGGATTACTTATGATTTATTTGAGCGTATTTTCTTCCCACCTCTGTGTCTGTGTGTGTGTCTAGGTCGGGAAACTCATCCAGGGAACGTGCCACACAGAGGAGAAAGCCACATTCCCACGTTCTTTTCCTTCCTTCTTCTTCAGAAACACTGAGTTCTGGCGCGCGCGCGCACACACACACACACACACACACACACACACACACACACGCAAGCACACCGCACACACGCGCAGCCAGACGGGTCCACAGCACCGCCTCCCCCCAGCACACCCGCACCCGCTGCTGCTGCGGCCCTGCGCAGGGGACCAGGCCGCTAGGCCCTGCCGCCCGCCCGCTACCCGCACCGGCGCCGCCTCCTCTCCCGCACCGCAGCGCTCGCAAGATGGCAGCGGCGCCGCCTGCTGAGTCCTGGAACCCGGGCCCCAAGTCACGGCCAGGCCCAAGGTCAGGCGAGGGCCTGGCCGGCGTGGCGGCGGCACAGGAGGCTAGGCCGGGAAGAGTGGAGCCTACCGTGGCTCCTGGCGCAGCCTGCCATCCCAGCGACCGCAGCCTCACCTGACGTGAACAGCACGATGGCTTTGAGGCAGCTGTACTCGGCCGAGTCGACGTGCAGCGCCTTGAGCTTCTCCACCTGTTCCTGGAAGATGCGGATGTGGTCCATGAAGGCCACGACGCGGTCGGCGGACATGGGCGAGGCGTGCAGGCCGGCGGCGGCCAGCAGCGGCGCCACGTGCAGCGGCATGGAGCACTGGGCCGCGTTGAGAACGAACAGCTCGCTCCAGGTGAGGCGCAGAAGGGACACCTGGTCGGTGATCTGCAGATCCGGGAAGAATGGGATGTTGCGAGCCCACTCGACGGCGCTGAAGAGCAGGCGCGCGGCCAGCTCGCAGATGTTCTCGATGCCCATGATGTTGTTGGGCTGCATGCATTGGCTGCCGTAGCGCGACGTTGGGTAGGGCTCCGCGCGCAGCAGCAGAGAGATGTAGCCAGATAGGTAACAGTGGCCGTTGAGGGGGTCCCCGTTGGTGAGTGCGTACTGGCCTGGATTGGGTTGGGTTGGAGGCATTCTTCCTCGCTGAACCGCTGACAAAAAGAAAGAGAAAAGAGGCAATGTGCATCCAGGAGGCTTGCGGACATCCCCGAGCCGCAGAGCACCCGACACAATGAGGAGGCTTTTCCCGCAGCCACACGCGCCCCGCGCATTTTCTCTCACGCTCGCTCTCACAGTCAGGACCAGGAAAATATCTGGGTTGAGGCCCTCCAGCTCCGCGGGTCGAAATGTCCAGCCACCGCCTGCGCACCTGGCCACCCCAGCCCTGCCAGAACTAGGCCTGACTTCAGGGCCCCCAGCCTCGCCTGGCCAAGAGAGTACCACCCAACCCCTCCACCACCAAGGAGTAACATGCAGATTAAGGAAATCCCTCTCACTCCTCCAGAGGGAAACAAATCAGGGTAGAAAATAAACAAGAGAAAGGTTGTTGTTCTAGGTAAATGCCTAGCTGCCTCTTCATTTGCAAGCAAGCAACGTTTTGCTCAAAATGTTTCCATATTCTCTAAAAATGCCACAGAATTATCCTTAAAATAGATACAAGTTACATGTTACATACCCTACAAACCACTTACAACTTCTCAATAGAAAACAAGTATCCTGCACCCTTCCCTTGTCTCCTCCTCCCCATCTCCCCACACAAAGTTCTCGCTGTTAAAAGCAACAGAAAATTGAAAAATATCAAGAAAAAGTTGAACTTACAGTAGCCAAACATTATTGAAAAAAGTGGGAAATATAATTAATGTCTGTCCTGTGTGGTGCCACTGCAACCTGCAGCCAGCTTTTGCCCAGTGAATGCACGAGCTTGCAACTGCAAAAACACTGGATTCATTAACCATCTATCTGAATGCAAAACGTAAGCATGCTTTGAGTTCTTAAAGCTGACCAAAGTTTTTTTTTAAATGTGTATGTTTTACTTCAACAGTGCCAGCGTTTTAAATTGCCATGTAAACAAAGACAACTTTAGAAAAAGTTAGGGCTACCGAACTCTTCCCCCCAACAAATTAATATAGATATGTCCATGTACACGTAGCTGTCTTGTTTCAGGTTATGCACCGTTTTCTTAAGTTTGCTTTGATTCTATTTTTAATGTAAGCTCCAATGCAATTTAAGCTCTGAAACATAATGGCCAGGATACTTTTTTTCCTAATTATAGTTTTGAACTTGGCAGTTATTTTTCAATTAAATGAGAGCACAATTCAAAGTTCCTTTTTTTTTTTTCCAGATGCCTACAAAATCTCCCTGGAGCTAGAAATGAAGTCGTCATATTTGCCTGCTCTTTGAGATCTGAAGGAATTCAATTTCTTTTCCTGTGGCATATAAAATATAATTTTAAAGTCAATTACAAGAAGGAGTAATCTGCATTCTGCAAAATTGACTGGTTCGCTAATTTGACTATAAGACATCTTTAATGATTGTCAGGAGATAAACTTTAACTGTAAACGGCTAAATATATTTATAAGAAAAGTGCTGCATCTCCTGCCACATGAACATGAAGCATATCTAAATACAACATCAAAAGTTGTGTTAAAAGAAGCCAAAGCCACACAACACAGGGATTAAATGATGTGGAAGCTCATGCCAGCTGCAGTCTATGCATTATAGCCAAATCAGAAGGATCGGTAAATGCCGTTGTAAATTGTAATTTGTATGCAGTATTTAAGCAGAGGGTGGAGTTTGATGAAGAAATAAAACAAGTATCATGCTTTTTAAAAAATGACACAACTATGAAAGCACGGTTCAGTCACAAACTTTCCTTTCAAAGTAGAGGGGTGAAAACAAGGCCACAGCTCTGGAGGAGGCGGCCCCAGCTTGGTGAAGAGAAGAGGGAACCAGTGAACAGGCCAGAAGCCCCCCTTCTCCCCTAATTAGACCTACAAGTGCAATAAATCTCACTCCTTTTTTTTTTTTCATGCTAAGCTTCCAAAAGGATGATGCAGCAATGCATCTACTCAGGGTACTCCAGTCCCCAGCCCTCCCCCCATGTTAAATAAAGGGGAGAAAGAGATGGAGGGGAAAGTGGTATGCAAAAACACAGAAACAAGTTTTCTGCGGGAAGTAAGCACCCCTCCCCAAGTTCATGCCAGCACAGCCCCAAGCATCCTCACGCACACGCGGGAAATAGACACACATCGAGCACATCCAAGACAGAGGAAGGAAAGGGATTTTAAGCCACAGCTCACGATCTCAGGGACACAATCCAGAGCAGGCAGCGAGAGGGGTGGAGGAGCAACGGAGAAGAGCGCAGGCCGGGAGGGGGAGGCAGCGGCAACGAGCTGGGGGGGGGGGCACGCCGGGGGAGGAAGGCAGCGGGGACGAGGGAAGCTGGGACGGGCCGAGACTGCAGAAGCCCCAGCCCCATACGGCAGCCACCCCGTGAGAGAGAAAGAAAGAGGGCCGGGAAGGCAGGCGAAGCTCAGGGAGAGAAGCAGAGAAGAAATATTCACCTTCCCGCCTCATGCCCACTTTGAGGCACTTCTTGAGGCGGCAGTATTGGCACTGGTTGCGGTGGTGCTGGTCGATGGGACAGTTCCTGTTGGCACGGCATGTGTAAGTTAAGTTCCTGCGGACGCTCCTCTTGAAGAAACTTTTGCAGCCCTCGCAGGTGAATTGGCCGTAGTGCTTGCCGCTTGACTTGTCCCCGCACACCACGCACTCGATGTGCTGCTGGCTCTGGCCCGAGCCAGGCGGGCCCTGGCCCTTGTCCCCTGCCGTGCCGGGGGTGGCGGGTGCGCCGGGCTGGCCCGGGGTCTGCGGAGTGTGCGGTGCGCCCGAGCCTGCCTGCTGCTGCTGTTCGCCCGCGCCGCCGCCGCCGCGGGCCGCCTGCGCTGCGGGGTTGGGGCCGCCGGGGTTGCCCCCGGCCACGTCGTCCTGCGGATCTCGCCAGCTGCTAACTACCATTGCCATATCTTTGGGCCCGGGGAGCGCTGGGGGGAGCCGAGCTGCTCGCCGAGGGCCGCGGGGCGCGCGGGCGCGCTGGGAGGGGAAGGGGAAGGGGAAGGGGGGAGGGGGAGGGGGTGGGGGGCCCACTGGGCGCCCCGGGGTCGCGGGAGCCGAGCCCGAGCCGGGCAGCGGCCGCTGCCTCAGCCGCCGCCGCCGCCGCCGCCTCTACTGCCTCGGCCGCCCCGCTGCTGCTGCGCGCCCGCCCGCCCTGCTGGCGTTTTGTTGTGGTTCCTGCTGTTTTCTTTCTCTCTTTTTGCAGCCCCCCCAGGCTCTCAGACTCCCCCCCCGCAACACCCCTGCTCCCCTCGCCCGCTCCCCCCCGCTCTCCGATCCTGGGGGGGCCACACTCTCCTTCCCCCCCTCCCCACCCCCCCAGAGAGCAAGCTCCCTTCTCTCGCTTTTTTCTTCTTCCCCAAGTTGCAAAATCAGAAATGGCACAGGCGGCAGCCGGGAGCGGCGCGGGGCGCAGCGCCGGGGGCGGCGGGCATGGGCCACGGCGCGCGCACACACTCGCCCTCCGCCTGGCCCGCACCCCCGCGCACACACACACACTCGCACACACACTCGCTCACCCGCGCCAGGCGCCCGCCCGCCCGTCGGTCGCTCCGGCTACGCGCTGAGCGCGGGCTGAGCCGACATAGAAGACCGAGAGGGCGGCGGCGGCGGCGGTGGAGAAGGAGGTCGCGACTGCAGGCGCCGCTGGAGCCGCCGCCTCAGCTGCAGCGGCGAGTGCCGCTGGCGGAGCCGGAGCCGGGGCCGGGGTCGGAGTCGGAGCTGGAGTCGGGCCGCAGCCGGAGCGTGAGCCCAGGTCCCGGCCGCCCGCGCAGCCGCCGCTGTCCCGGCGGGAGCCCTCGCTGGGCTTGGGATAGAGGGGAGTGCGGTGAGCCGAGTGGGGCGCGGGGCAAGGCTGCTGGTGGAGATCAGGGTGCACTGGTGTCTGGGGGCCAGGTCCAGGGCCGGACGCAGCCAGCCATTCAGGAAGGCAGTGCTGGAGAGCGGGAGGCAGCCAGTGAGGAGGATCACACACTTTGCTCTTTTTGTTGTGCCGGTGGCGCTGGGCTCTCGCTGCCTTCTTCTTTCGGGAGGTGACGGAAGGAGAGAAAAACACGAGAGATTCACGCCGACGATGAATTCACAGCAAAATAGAAAAAATAAAAATCAGAAGAAAAAGAATTGCAAAAAAAAAAAAAAGCGAGAGAGACATCCAAAGTAGGTCGAATAAATAATCCTCTTCTTTTCCTTTTTCTTGCTCCTTCTTCTGCTTCTTCTGCTATAACACACAGAGCTAGTTAAAAAAACCCTGGAGATCGCCCAAAAATGTTCTTTTTTTAGTATTTTAAATAAGTGCTCTTCAGCCGGGAACCAACACCCTCCCTCCAAAAAAAATCATATATGTATAAAATAACGATAAGAAGAATATGAAGGGGGTGCCTCCTCCTCCTTTTTTTTTTTTTTTTTTTAAGTTTCGCCCTCTCTCCTTTGCAGGAATGGAGTAAAAGAGACTAGGAGGAGGGAGAAAAGGGAGAGATAAAGGAAGAATATGAGGAAAACAACTAGTAGAATACGTAGAGAAAAGAGAAAAGGGAGAGAAGACTGAGGGACAGAAAAGAGATTGAGAGAGAGAGGGGTAGAGGAGGTGGAGAGAGGAAGGAGAAAGAGGGAGAGAGAGAGGGAGAGAGACACACAGAGAGAGAGGGGGGAGAGAGAGAGAGAGAGAGAGGGGGAGAGAGAGAGAGAGAGACCCCAAAATTGAATGCGTTTAAACGGGAGAACTCGCAGAGCAATGTTTCCGAAAGGGGGATCTGCGCGAATGTCTGTATATAGTGAACTTTGACACTACTATTGAAACTGACACGTTTCTATGGAGATCGCTGCCTTATATGGAGCTTGTGTCAAGGAGCCAGAAGAAGGGCTGCTGGCAACTGATAATCAAAGGCGACTGACTGGTCAGAGCCCTGAATGGGAAGCGGGAGGGGGGGCGGCGGGGGGCGTAGAGAAAATGGGAGGCTAAGGTTAGCCATGCCTCCTGCACGCTATTGGTTGGAGAGCCCTTCCCCCCTCCTCTTTTTCTTTCTTTCTTCCTCCACCTCCCTCTCAGCTACCTACCGACGGGGATAGCTAGGGGAGGAGAGAAAGTGAGGGAGGGGGGTGTGCTTCTGACAGGCGCAATTTACATTGAGATCGCCCTGCGCTGCTATTTACTCTGAGACCTGATTAGTATGGGTCGTCTGTGGTTTCTCTCCGCGCCCGCCCCCCCCCACCCCAGGGCGAAGGGATGGTGAGAGGGAAAATACTTGCAATGTGCAAATTAGAAGAAAATTATGTTGATTTCTTCTAAAAAGTTTTTAAAATTAGGTTCTATGAGCGTGAAGAGAGTGTCATTGAAAATGTTAGGAAATTTTTAATGGGAATTTAACTTTCACCATTTTAATGATTCGTGAAATACATTGGGTTTGGATTGCTTTCTTCTTTGACATGTAAGCATAATCCAAGTGTGGATTGTGTTTATTTTATATCTTTTAAAGAAACAAGGTAGATAGGGACTCTTTCATCCTAAGTATATCTTGGTTTTAAAGGTTTAATTACGATAAGACACTCCTGGAATTTACAGCTATTGTCATGAAATCAATCCGAATTCAACGGTTCTTATTGATCCCAGCGATCATTTTAAAAATAAACTTTCCAATAAATTTGATTTTTTCTTTCCTTTTTCCTCTATGGTATTCTCAGGCTGTTTCAAACTCGAAACAACACTTCAATAATTATTAAGAAAACAGTAGTAATTCCCCATAGTGGTGGGGTGGTTAGTGCTGCTAAGTCTGAGTCCCAAAAGGGGAAAGGGGCAAGTGAATGAGAAAGGGAAAAGATGGGGAGAAGTAGGGGGAGAGGGGAGGGGAGGAGAGAGGGAGAGGGAGAGGGAGAGAGAGAGAGGGAGAGAGGGAGAGAGGGAGAGAGAGAGAGAGAGAGAGAGAGAGAGAGAGAGAGAGAGAGAGAGAGAGAGATTCCCGAAGGCGATTGGTCGCGGGAGGAGGGGCGGGCTGGAGGAGCGGGTCAGGCCGCTGGGCCTGCAGAAATCGCTGGCTCCGGCTGCCACCTAGCGGACGGGAGCTGCGCCCGGGAGGCACACAGCCGGGTCCTTCCTCCCCTCTCCGCAGGCAGCCTGTGCCTTTTCTCCAAATGAAGACAGCACTTTGAAAATTCTTTCAATGGATTTTTTTTTTACTTGAAAGATCGTACTGGGGGAAAAATGATACTTCTATTAGCTACATATTCTCCAATCGCACACTCGCACCCCCCTCATTTTGGGATCGCTCCCCTAGGCAGGCTCAAGCAGGCGCGGAGCGGCGCGGAGTGACAAAGCCGACGCTGCTGCCGCCGCCGGGGGTGGGAGCAACTCTTCCTGGCCCGCCCGTCCCTCTACTCGGGAGAGCGTTAAAGTTTGTCTCAGCTCCAGCATCCCAAGCCTCAACACGCCCTCAGATAAAGGTGGAAGTAAATGGCCACGCTGTATTGACAGAGGTAGGGTTTGTTTTTCAATACTCGTTCTCACTTTAAATTTTACCAGGCTGCGATTTCGGAAGTGCTGCGCTTTTGGGGTGCGTTTTGCGCTTCCCTGTCTCTCCAGCCTGTAAGTCGGGAGTTGGAGATCGGTTAGTAAGGAGGGGTGATTTTAAAGAGCAGAATAAAGGCTCTTCCGTGCCTGCCCCGCAGCCCCTCCAGCTCGAATAATGGAGAGACAGTCAATGCACTCTGTAAGCAGCGGCCCATTGTACGCTGAGGATAGAGAGGAGACGACTGGGGCCAGCAGCGGCTCCTTGCTCTCGTCCCTCTCCCCAAATAAATGCGCTTACGTCTCCTGGTCAGTTAAAAGGTGAAACGAACACGACAAAAAAAGAAAGAAAGAAAGAAAGAAAGAAAGAAAAAGAAAGGAAGGAAGGAAGGAAGGAAGGATGGAAGGAAGAAAGGAACAAGAACCAGCTTTCTATATATACCTTCTAAATTTTATTCCCATACAGTACGGAGACAAGCAGTCGAGGGCAGGCAGAGGGAGCAGGCAGAGAGGGAGACAGATGGAAAGAGGACTAGGAGAGTGACGGAGCGAGCGAAAGAAGAGGCGAGGGCGGGCGCCAGGGAACCGAAGGTCCGCTGGACACCGGGTCCTCGGGCCCAGCCCCCTTCGGACCTTGAATTGTGTCGTTGGGCACCGGAAGCGAGGCTCTGCCAAGTCCTGTCCCACCAGGCAAGTAAAGCAATGATTATCGTTTCCTTTTGAACTCGGGGTCGGCAACGCGGACAGGTCAGGAGGCAGCCTTGGCTCGAATGGCTCTGTAGGCCGGGGCCAGAGTGCAGGCAGACAGGGCGGGACGAGGAGAACTTTCCGTGGGGCCTGCCTAGGAGCGACCCTCACCCTGCATCTGTCCAGCCGCGCGGAGGCAGGGAGGGCGGCCGCCGCGCCGCGGCGGAGCTGAGGACCGTGCCAGCTGGGAGTTAGTCCAAATTCAAAGCAGGTCTCCCCAACTCCCATCCTCAACCGGCTCCCCGACCCCCTTTCGGGAAATGGCTACAGGGCCTCCAGCGCGGGTGCGGAGACAGGGGACTGAAGAACTGCAGATTTTGCTCCGCGACCCCGCCGGTGCGGAGCTCGAGCCAGTGTGGAGCCGGCGGCGGAGTCTTGCCGGACTAGCCCTGCTGCCCGAGCCTTGCGTGGCTGCGGTCGGGGCCTGGAGAGCTCGGCTCCTGCTGCCCACCTGCGGACGCCGTTAGTAACGGAATCCCCTAACGTAACGCCACAGATGACTGCCTGTTTGATGTGGGCGATAGTGTCAGCGGATTAAAAGGGGCCCCTAGCGACTCTCCCCAGCCCAGAACCTGCGGAGGCAAAGAGAGCACCAGATAAATCCGCAGCCCCACAGCCCAGCCAGACTCCTCGAACCTCAGCCAGAGGGCTGGGAGCGGGCTGGGGGCGAGAGGGGGGGTCACCTCCCAGGGGTGGGGACCGAGGGGGCGTGTGTGAAAGGAAGAGCC